TTTTTTATTTCTTCCGCATTTTTTCGCCGGTCTCCGGCGTTGACTTTTTCGATTTTTTTTTTCTTTTTTTCTTTCTTTTTGTAACCTTTTTTTTTTCGTTTAAACAACAATATTGTTGTGATTGACAGTAATATTAACTATATTACTGTTAAACACAGTAAAATTAAACGAAACTACAGTTTAACACAGTAATATTACGATATTAATCTCTAGCACAATAATATTAACACAACAAAACTCATTATTATTGTGTAATAGAGTAATATTACTATGTTGACCGTTCAACAAATGTAAACATAATAAAAAACCAAAAGAATTAATATTACTGTGAGTGACAGTGATATTACTATAACAATATAATATTACCGTCAACCACAGTAATATTACAATAATAGATAGTAATATTATTAGATTACTCCATGAATAACACAAACAAACAAAAAATCCAAATAAAATAATAATATTGATGTGGTTGACAGCAATATTACTATAACAACAGTAATATTACCGTCAACCACAGTAATATTATTGTGTTTACAGTAATATTACAATAATAGACAGTAATATTATTACGTTACTCCGTGAATAACTCAAACAAAACAAAAAACCCAAAAAAATAATAATATTGATGTTGTTGACAGTAATATTATTGTGTTTACAGTTATTTTACTGTCAACGACAGTAATATAATTACGTTGACTTGTCAACAAATCAAACAAAATAAAACAAACAACAAAAAATTAAAAATAATAATATTATAACATTAATTTACTGTCAACGGCAGCACAATTACATAAATTTATTGTCAAGAGCAGTACAATTACGTTAATTTACTGTCTTTGACAGTATAATTACGTTAATTTACTGTCAGTGACAGCATAATTATGGTCAACGTTTAGCGGCGGACGTAAAAAAAAAAAAAAAACGAAAAAAAAAGAAAACTTAAAAAAACACCAAAAAAAGTCAAAATTGAATTTTTGTGGTCAAAATTGGATTTTTGTGGACAAAATTGATTAAATTGGGATTACAATTAAGAATTGGGTATAAATGGTTGAGGGTAATATTGGGATATACATGAGTGTTTCCTTTATTTATAATAAATATTAAAGGGATGGGCTTATTGGTGAAAGAGATATAGCCCTTAAACGTAGAATAATAAACGTGCTTGGTTGGGGACTTATGCACAAAACCCCCTATTCTTTTTGTTTGTTTTAAGAAATTTTGAAAATTGCAATTTGATCCAAAAATTTGAATTATTTATATTAAGCACCAATTAGATTTATCTTTATTTATAGAAGAACTTCAGAGGGTATTTTTGACTTTTCATATCAGAAAATACACTCTCAGTCGCGCAACCCGCATGTGGATCACACGACATGTTTTTAGGGACTTTTTTGGCTTTGATTAATTTTTATGGGGGGGTTTATGCTAATTTTTTTAACACAAGGGTTTTTTTAGCCATTCGAGATTATACAGGGGTGGTTCTTGCAAAAAACCCTAAGATTAAATAGCCTAATGAGAACCCAATTATTTTTATCGGACCCTGAAATGTCCAACGAAAAAGCTCCCTAAAATGCAAGATAACATAATTTTTGCATGTCGACCAGATAAGTTATTGGAGATATCAAACATCAAACAAAGTCCAATTATTTCGTTAATAATGGCGAATCTCCCCAACCAAACGAAGCATTAATATATTCATCAATTATTCAAAACAAAATGTGTATTTTTCAGTTCACTCTTTTGTTTTCTTACACTTTGAATAAACCTGAATTTCTCGCTTTACTATTTTCTTTTGTACAGACTCTCCTAACCTTTTCGATTCAGACTAACTTTCATTTGAATTTTCTCCGAAGTTTCGATGTTGCACATGAATGAAAGTTGCTCTATCCTTATCAAGATAGTTGAATATATTCAGTGCATTCATATCAGTCTCCAATAAGACTAAATCATCACAGTCATTGATACTCAGACCCCTGCAATGGTAAAAAACAACTACATCTATCATAGACATTTCATCTACTGAACAATAGTCAAAATAAGCAATATCTAGCATACCCTAAAGTTCAAAAACTTGCCAGAATGGTACATTTTTATGGTGAAAAATTAGAGTTCCAAAAACACTTACAACTTAAAAAAACCAGACTCAACTTTACATATCTCTTTTTATCCAAAAAAATCATAAAGAATAAAATGTGGTCCACAAAATTGGAACATGGCACATGGGTAAAACATTTAACAAAACATTTGTCTTTGTCCTTTTCGAAATAAAGCCAATAACCACTACATTGATTACATAAAACAAACCCTAAAAGAAATCAAGCACAGTTAAATAAATTTCTTACTGTAATATGGAGTATTTCTTCCCACTAGCTTCTCGTAACTTCCAAAACTTGTTCAATGTCTTGCTAAATTTGTTAATTTTTTGATGAGGTGAAAAACCCTAGATTCGTAATTTGGTAGCAAACTGAATTTTTTTACAAAGTAAAGTGTGAAGTGAAGAATCGAATTATGGCAGGTAAACGAACGATTTGATTTGGCGAAATTGCCCCTCAATTCTCACGTGGCAGAAAATGAGGTTTTAAGTGACCGATGCAACGAATTAGTAAGTCCAAATATGATCATGCAACTGTTATTTTTGTTTAACCCATAAACAAATATAATAGATGATCTTGTAAGAGGATGAGTACCTAACTTCTACTATTATACTAGACACGCGGGGATACGCGTAAATATAAAAAATATAAGGGTATATTTATAAATAATAAAAATATAGGGGTACATTTATAAATTGTAGAAAATATGTATAAGTCGTCATCGCATAAGAGAACCGCTCGCCCTTGATGCTCGTGTTCTTGGTCGCCGTCGCATGCTAGACTTTTGGAGTTTTGGGTGAACTTACAAAGAAAATAGAGGAAATGTGTATTACAGAGAAAAGAAAATGCGCATTTTTTTTATTAGGGTTATCTCTTAAAACGTCAGAGAAGTGTCCTAACTTTTTTTAAATTGTGGATACTGCCCGACACGGGTGTCCTACTTTTAGCGAAATTACGACACGGCCCGACACGGGTGTCCAAAAAGTGTCTGGGTGTGTCCGAGTATCCAGGTATCGGATACGGGGACTCTTCACCTTTTAGAAGTGTCCGTGCAGCATAGGTTTGAATCATACCACCCTCCCCTAGTTTCCCAATTTATAGCATATTTTGAATTTATAAGTATATAAATAAAATAAAGTTAACTATGGTTTTATTAAAAAAAGTAAGATATATTGATTAATATTAATCGGTAACTGTACTTGAATTATATGTTGCACTAAAGAAAAGGTATTCCATTACCATCAATGAGTAAAGGGTAAATAGCACTTTACCCCATTTGGTTTCAACTAGTTGCACTTAACCCCCCTGTCATATCAATTTAGGCCTTTTACCCCCCTGTGGTTTGCACAACGTAGGGCCGTCAGTCGAGCCGTTAAAGGTTAACGGAGTGTGCATCTCACTAGCTCGAAAAATGACTTGGTTGAGTTTGTTTAACCATAAATTAATGTTTGTAAACCTTTTGAATTGGCTAAATCGCACTTTGCACCCTTGAAATATATCATTTTGGCACTTTGCACCCCGAAACAAATTAATAACATTTTGCACCCTCGAAACACAATAATTCATGCATAATGCACCTCAAATGAATTTGTAAAGCTAAAAAATGTAATTTAATACATTTAGTCATATTTTTTAGAATGCCAAATGTCAAATATTTATTTTATTTATCAATCATTTTCAATCTATGAAGTGCAAAAATAAAAATACATTTCATCAACATATTTAAAAATTATATTTTTTTATCAAAATAAAATATTCTACGAAAAAAAAAATCGTTCAACTATTCTGTTATCAAGTTATCTGAAAACCATATTTTCTTCCAAATATTTTACCTAATATTTTCAACTAGTTACAATAAAAGATCCATCGATCGAATAATTTAGTGATAAAAGCTTTTTTTTTGTAAGAAAATATAGTTTTATGATAGCGGATATGGAGCATGGCGTCGAAGCGATGAAGATGGCAAATTGGCAAAGATGAAGATGCAGATTGCAGAGGAATAACGGAGAAGACAAACTTCTCTCATCTATGCTTCTTTTATCTTTTATTTTTTACTTTTCGGTGTGGAGGAAGGGGCCACCTGGAAGTTAATGAGTTCTTTTAATTTTAATTTTAATTTTCTTTATTAATGGTTTAATTATATTTTATTATTTATTTGTATATTTAATTAGAGGTAGTTTGCTCATTTCCTTTCAAGTCAATGGATTTATCTCGTTCAAGGGACGGTGGGCTAAATAAATGAAACATAGAGGGTAATTGCTAATTGTTTTTAACACGAAAACTTATCCGACAATTAGACATTACACAGGGGGTTAAGGGCAATTAACTCGGATAAAGAGGTTTGTTTTGACATGTAAATTGTAAGAAATTAGAAGGGTATATTAGAAATGTTACCATTTAACAGCTAAACTGACGGCCGCTACATTCTGCAAACTACGGGGAGGTAAAAGGCCTAAATTGATATGACAGGGGGTTAAGTGCAATAAGTTGAAACCACATTGGGGTAAAGTGCTATTTACCCATGAATAAGTGATAGTAAGAGTCTAGAAAAACATTTTGTAATTATACTATTTTGAAGGGGTCTAGATGTAATTAGCCAATTATAACCATTTCACGAGGGAATATTGTCTAGGTAGCATATCAAACAACAAGACTCTCTGCATTTCAGTAGAATTTTCTTCACAAAAATCTCTTTAAGAAGATGAGGATTTATGGAAGAGCGGCTATTCGCAGAGCAATTTCTGCTAAATCTTCCACTTATTAAGGTATTTTTGCTGATCCGTTCTCTTTCTTTTCTTCAAATGTCCATAGCGAGCGTCACAAAGATAGACTTTTTTCACCTAACCTCAAAGAGATTTGAGCTGTGCAAATGAATTAGATGAAGCTATTTTCTTGTTTCGAAAAATGGTGAGAATGCAGCCACAGCCCTCCGTTTTTGAATTCACCAGACAATTGCAAGTTATTGTCAATATGAAACAATACTGGGTTGCCCTCAAACTGTTCGACGAAATGCGTCAACTGGGTGCCCCTGTAAATGAGTACACGATGAACATCTTGATTAATTGCTGTTGCCTTTTGAAACGCGGAGACGTTGGTTTTGCTGTGTTCGGCATCTTCTTTAAATAGGGCTACTAAAAGGGCTCTTTTTAGATGGTAAGGTGGCCGAGGTGGAGAAATTGTTTAAGCAGATTTTGACTTTGAAACTTTGCGAGCCAAACGATGTTACGATTCGTACTGTGATAGATGGGCTCTGCAAAGCTAGACGTGTTCTTGTTGCCCATGACTTGCTTTTGTTATTGGAAAAGAGTATCTATAAGCCCAATGTTAAGGCTTATAATGCGGTAATTAATGGCTTATGCAAGACCGGAACGGTAGATAATGCTCTCCAGCTGAAGTCTGGAATGATTGATAAGGGAATTTCACCTGACGTTGTCACATATAACTCGATGATTCAGGGCTTGTGCGATTTTGGTAATTGGAAAGAGGTCAAAGACTTATTGAATAAAATGGTCAACCAAAAGATTTGTTTAACTGTTGTTACTTTCAATATATTAGTGGACTCATTTTACAAGGAGGGAAATGTTAAGGAGGCTGAGGATGTTTTTGAAATTATGACGAGACAAAATATTTATCCTAATATTTACACGTACAATGCATTGATAGATGGGTATTGTTTGCAAGGGAAAATGGATAAAGCGAAACAAGTATTTGATTCCATGGCTAGCAAGGGGATTAAGCCATGCATTGTCACCTATAACTCTTTAATCAACGGGTATTGCAAGAATGGTAAAGTGGATGAAGCTTGGCGTCTTTTTCTCGAAGTTTCTTCTAAAGGTTTAGATTACCTTGATACAATTACCTATAGCACCATGATACATGGATTATTAAGTGAAGGTAGAAACGCTGATGGATGGAAACTTTATAAGGATATGGAAGCTCGGCAAGTACATCCTAATTTATACACTTGCAATATTTTGTTGGAAGGCTTGTGCAACACTCATCAGATTACCGAAGCATTTTCATTTCTACGGGTGATGGAAGACAAAGGAGTAAGTCCTAATATAATAACATACGGTATCCTGATTAATGGTTTATGCAAAGATGGGAAACTTGAAGATGCAAAAAAGCTTTTAAACGAACTTCCTTCCAAAGGGTTGAAACCTGATAATCACATATATGCTATCATTATTGGTTCACTTCGTGAAGAAAGGTTCGTGGACGAGGCAAAAGATTTGCTTATAAAAATGGAGAGAAGTGATTGCGCACCGGATAGCATGACATACAACATCCTTATCCAGGGTTTGCTAAAGAAGAAAGAGTATGACAAGGCAATCCCATTCATAGAGGAAATGCACAAAAAAGGATTCTTAGCCGATGCATCTACTTCGTCCATGTTAATTAATCAGTTGCAAGGATCCAAAAAAAATGATGTTCTTTTAGAAATGATGAAGAAAGTTGTGCCGAAAATGTAAATTATTTATTTTCGGCTTGTCAAGTTTAATTAGTTTTTTGGAATATTGAAAATGACTTGTTGGTCATTATTGATTTTTCTTTTCTTCTTGAATTTCTATTTGGGCTTCTGCATTGTCCTCCCAATGATATTTGTGTTTCATGTTTTTGTGATTGTGGTTGGCTGGTTGTCGACTCATATTTGTATTCGTTTACTCCACAAAGCCAACCACGCTGAAATAAATGTCTAATTTAACAGAAGACTAAAGAACAAACCAATTAATGAAAAAATAGCATAATTGTCACACAAAACGACAGTTCCTATTGAAAATCACAACTTCAGCTCAAAAGCCATTCTGATAGTTAATTATTATCACACAAAAAAAAAAAAAAAAAGAAAAAAAAATTGATGATACGTTAGAAGGTTGCAGAGCGCATAGAATTGTTGGTGCAATATGACATTCATAAAGCGTGTATTAAAGATTGTGCATTTTCATTGTATGACTAATAAGATGGATGCCTACGTGTTGAACTTGTGGGGTAATTATTTTAATTTTAATGGTTCTATGACGAACATCAGCCAACGCCTTTCTGTAAAGAATGAATGCGAATTTTGTAACAAAAACTTAATTATATGCATAAATAAAGCTCCCATTTTTCTTCTTCGGTTACAAATCCTTACATAAATTATAAAACTCATACCAAAGATTTCATAATTTGAAGTAAATTGTATTCTTAAGCATCACAAAAGAAGCCAATGAAACATAAAATACAAAATACAAATAGTTAAGAAGGTTTTGGTTGGAGTTGTTTTCCCTTCCTTGTTCACCATGAAGAAGCGAGTAGTTAATCATACCAATAACGGATCGTAACAAGCATTCAATAACCTTAATGTCCTTCAAATTTGAGAGCTTTTGGTAGTAGAAGACGAACAAAAAGTAGGATTCGTTTTGTAGAAGAAAGACGAAAGAAAGGTACAATTGAATTCCAATAATCCAAAAAATTGACGATTGGAATTTCTTTTCTTTGAAAGCATGCATAAGAGAAGGGAAATAGAATATAGTAAAACCTCTATAAATTAATAATGTTGGGACCGGGATATTTTATTCATTTAGCGAGATATTATTATATCGATGATTTAATAATTTATTAATTTAAAGAGGTTTCACGAATGACCTTTGAATTTCCAAGTCCAATGTACTAGTTACAATTTGGCCGTCTCAGCTTGAAGAAATGTGCAACAAGCAGCCACATCAAATTTCTTTCGACACTGTAAAATACGCTCGGCGAATCTAACCGGCTCAAGTGATTTAAACGATGTAAATTCTGGAGAAGATATTCGTGAGCTTGAGAACTTGATTACATGTATGTATTATCAACACAAAATGGAAGTGAATCACTTGCTAGATTATCCTGGTGAAAATAATGAATGTTACGAGGTTCAAAGCATTGAAGAAATTGTGGCGGATACCATTCAAAATCCGACCGATGATGAAGTTGAGGATGATTCAATAGTTTTGGAACCGGTCTCTCGGAAAGAAGCATGGCAAGCGGCAACAACTCTTCACAACTTTTTGTTGCAATAAGAGAAGACAACACCCCAACTTTTAAACACAATGAAGAGATTTAAAGATGAATTCACTATAGATTTGAACATATGTATACTGACTCACTCATTTAATGATAGCAGGATAGACCATTTAGAATTAGAATGTACGGGATCATATAATATTTATTAGATCAATTATTTGTTGATAAATGAATAACATATTAACTTAATTAACCACAAGTACGACATAGGTGGTGTTTGCAAATGATTATTTAAAAGCAGAAGTTAGTGATTGTGATTTAAGTTAGTTTTAAGTGTTTATTTCTAAAAGTTGGGGGTGTTTGCAAAAAAATCGGAAAATGAACTAAAATTGAAAAAGCAGGGTTATGGGTGCTTTTAAAAAAATAGCTTAAAGCAGATTATTTTAAAAGAAACAAAAACAAAAGTTGATTTTGCAAACACCTAAAAACAGATTATGAACAAAAAAAACCGCATAATCACTTTCAAAAAGCATTTGCAAACACCACCATAGTGTGACTTAATAAATAAATGGTAAAATGGGAATCACAAAAATGTTAATAAACTAAAAATATTCATGCTTTATATATATATATATATATATATATATATATATATATATATATATATATATATATATATATATATATATATATATATATATATGGTCCATTACAAATAAGCCCATTATGGGCTACTTTATTTATAAAGAGTTAAAGACTAAAAAAAAATTTACAAAATATTCCAAACATTGAGCTATGTGTGTAAAAAACTTAAATACCCCACACATTTTAATATGCTCCAATTTCGTCATTTAATTCAATTTGATTCCAAATTTGACCAATTACTTAATTTGGACCCAAAATCCAAATTTGAGTACAATTTCGCCCGCCGTTGCTGTTGTTTGCCGGTCTCTGGCGTTGCCCTTTTTTTTTTCTTTCTTTTTTTGTTTTTTTCCAGTCTACTTTTTCCGTCGGTTTCCGGCATTGACTTTTTTTTTTTCTTTTTTTCTTATTTCTACCGCCGCTTGACCAGCGGTCAAAGCCGGTCTCCGGCAACGTTGAATTTTTTTCTTCAACATTTTTTGGCGCGTTTAAACAGTAATATTGTTGTAGTTGACAGTCATATTAACTATATTACTCCCTCCTTCCCTTAACAATTGTCACTTTTGTTAGTTGCACACATATTAAGAAACTCAATAAATATGCATGTATAGTATCAAACAGTATATCAAATCACTAAAATGTCCATGCCAATAATTAATTTTTAACTATATTTTAATTAATTATTAGTGAGAAAGGGCCAAATTGAAAAAAAATGCAATTAGTGATTCATTGGAATAGTAAAACGACAAATAATTTGAAACATAAAAAATGACAAAATTGACAACTATTGAGGGAAGGAGGGAGCACTCATGTTTTACATAGTAATATTAACTATATTACAGTTTAACACATTAATATTGCTAATTACTCCACAGTAATATTAACACAACAAAAATCAGTATTAATGTGTAATATAGTAATATTAATATGTTGACCGTTCAATAAAGGCAAATATAATAAAAAGTAAAAACAATTATTATTGATGTGGTTGACATTAATATTACTATCAACCGCAATAATATACCACAGTAATATTATTGTGTTTACAGTAATATTACAATAGTAGACAATAATATATTACATTAATTGGTCAACAAATCAAACAAAAAAAAAAACGAAAAGAAAATAATATTGATGTGATTGATAGTAATATTATTGTGTTTACAGTAATTTTACCGTCAACAACAGTAATATTTTTACGTTGACTTGTCAACAAATCAAAACAAAAAAAACCCAAAACAAATAATAATATTGATGTGGTTGACATTAATTATATTGTCAACGACAATACAGTTATGTAAATGCATTGTCAACGACAGTACAATTACAAAAATGTACTGTCGTCAACGACAGTACAATTACAAAAATGTACTGTCAACGACAATACAATTACGGTCAGCAACAGTATATTGTACATGATACAACTACGGTCAACGTTCATCGGCGGGTGTAAAAAAAAGGATAATAAATTTAGGGAAAAAAATCAAAACAATTCAACACCGGAGGCCGGCGGCGAAAAAAAAAGTCAACACCGGAAATTGGCGGTAAAAAAACTTCATAAAATAAAAATTTAAAAAGAAAAAGTCAAAATTTGATTTTTGTGGTAAAAAATGATGAAATTGAAGTTAAATTAGGGTTACAATTAGGAATTGTGTTTAAAGGGTTGGGGTAATTTTGTCATATACATTAATGTTACTTTTATTTATATATACATAATAAATGGATAAGCTTATTGGCAAAATAAATATAGCCATTGAACCTAAAATAATAAAGATGGTTAGTCAGGGACTTGTGTATAAAAACCCCATTTATAAAATCAAGTTGGGGAATTGCAAAAACAATTCTTGATATTTTATTTATGCAGACCAGACCGGCAAACTCACTCTTCCAATATAAGCACCAATTTAGATACATATAAGTATAATCAATGCCAAAATTTGATTCCATAATATAATAGCCCACGATAAGATCACTTAATTTATATTCTACTTTTTTTTTTCTTTAAATATATTCACCAGTCATATATATATAGAAAAATTACCCCTAACTGCATGAAAACTTAATTCAGACCCAATTTCATGATTTAAACCATAATTTAGTTCCAATTCATTTGGATGGCAGATTTGGGGTCCAAGAAGCTATGAGATGCTCCTGTATCTAATAGAATAGTGATTAACATCTCTTTGCACTTGCCAACTACTTTAATTGTAGAGTGAGTTGATTGACCAGTTATGGCTAGGAAAGATATCTGCACTTGCCAACTACCTTGGAACCCTCTGATTGTTGGCTACAATCCTCACTAAACTTCTGATTTCCACCTTCAGTTGATCCACTATATTCTCTTGTAGTTTGGCTTGGATGATGGCATGGGCAAGGGTCTGTGGTCTCATCATCTTAACCATATTCTTAAGCTCTCCTTTCAATGATTCTACAAAACACTCCACATAATAGCTTTCTAGCAAGGTCCTGTGTTTCCTTACCATAAAAGCCTTGAGCTGCTCAAACTTCAATCTGTACTCCTCCACATTAGTTTCTTGTGCAATTTGTTAAATTATGCCACCAAACTGACCCCTTCCTCTTCCATGAATCTCTCCAAAACCATATTTGACAAAGCTTCCCATCCTACATATCCATCCCCTCTATGTAGTGAGAGAACCAATCCTCCACCTTACCTTCCAAGTTCATTGATGCCAGAAGCACCTTCTCCTCCCCACTCATAGGGTTTATCCTAAAATACCTGTGGCATCTTCTTAGCCATGTTCTAGGAAACTGGCCATCAAACTTTGGAAAGTCAACCTTAACATTCCTAATATCTGTGTTTCTCAAAGGAATGTTGATGTTACCTCCTTCTTGTGGCATTTGGTGAAATCCTGGTGGAACATTCTCTGGATTCCTAACTGGATTTTCCGAGGTATTACCATGGGCCATAGGTTCCTTTCCCTTGTTCCCGTTCATAGATCTGACCACTTCACTCATTAACCTATGTATATCATCCATCCTCTGGCTGGTTTCAAGCCTATTTTTCTCCA